TTGACTTCAAAATTCCAAACTTAGTTTTTTAACTATGGTTGGCTCCCAATAAAAATCTCTTCCTTACTTATTCACTTCTCTAATAACCAGAATGTCAAAAAAAAGAATAAGGACATGTTCTCTGCTATTTCGATTGTGAGCCTAATGTTCCCTCGAATCTTTTCCGCATGCACTTTCATACGAAATGAAGGTCTCGTAAACAAGTTTATTTCAGGAGATTCATCGAAACTCAGATATTCTTCGTATTCGCTAGTTGACAGAGAAGTGGTCAAGTCAAACAGCCCCTGAATAAGTTAGCCAGACCATGAAAATACCATCTGCTTCTAGCTAATATCAACTGCATATATGAGGAAAGCGAAAAGAATGACAACCAAGTCGGGCTCCTTGCCTCGAACAGGCCTTGCATCACGCGGACAGCGATCAAAGCCCCCGAGTGTGTGCGTGCTGCAAGCGGAATCACGAAGCTGAGCAGGGCAGTTCCGAAGATGCCGATGAAGAACACATACTTGGCGCTGAAGTAGAAAGAGAGGAGACCGCCTGAAAACGGGAAAAATGATCTAATATTAAATATTTACGAAGCAATTCATTATCCTCACTATTGCGTGAATATATTTAAATAGAGTTAGACAGGTAAGTAGAATATGCTGGTAGTAGGAAGCCAAAAGTGCCGATAGCATAAGTTATGCTGGCTATGTGTAAACAATCCCGTTTAAGTAGAAAAAGAATCTTCTCTTGGCCTGCTAAGGTGGGAAAGGCAAATGATTCCGGGCTCAGGTTATGCAGGTCTGCCGATGAGCTGCGGCACTCACAAATAGAGCAAAGTGTGATTGATTACATGGATGCCTTACTCAGTCCAGATTAGGGCTTCCTGATTACTAGCATTTTTATCATTCTTGTAAGAAGTATATTTCTTTCAATAGTAAATTAGTACAGGCTATTATTCCGGTTATTCTGCAAGAAAGGACTGGAAAGAAGAATTATGGAGAATTTGTCTACCAAATAATTCGAATATTT